ACCTTGAACTAACCCCCCCTCCCCGTCCGTCTGTTTCAGGGTTGGTCTGAGGTCTCTCGTGGAACAAGCCATCGGCACACAGTCCAAGGGAGCCGCTTCCTTGAGCGACGCCATCCAACAATCCAGTTAGTATGGCGCGAAATAAACGTGCCTAGTGGCCCCCGCGGCCTACCATACTTTCTACATTGCTACTAAACGCTCGAGAACTTTGAACTTTCTTTGCCACAGCTTTAAGCTAAATATTACCACAACTCTTCATTTGTATTTTGGCGCAGGATAAAACTGTCACTTCTGTCGAATCTGATAAATAATTCTTATGGTGTGGCTTAGGAAACTGCTCGAAAAAGACGCTTTGAAAACTGTGCAATTGTGATCTTTTTAAAGAAAATCAATGTAATAATTTCTGTCAATTATCAGTCTGTGTAAGCATTTATGTCGGAGCCTGATGGCTGCCTAACTCGGTGAAGCTTTTCGCTGCCCGCATTCTCCACTCGCATTGAATGTTCAAACCTCATTAAATCTTTGAAAAGAACAAAGCTCGTTCACTAGGATTTGTACGGTACGTTATGTTCACACTGACTGTTTGAGACTGTTCACTCGGGGGAGTACGGTAGCGAGAGGAAACTACTAAACATGGCCCCAGAATAGACAGGAAATGACGTAATGGGTGATGGTGTGGTCGGCTCTCCGTTGTTGTTTTTTTCCTCTTCACAAAGTCTGCTACTGCTCTTCGTTTGGTACCCACATTTCCATTGATAGCTATAATAATCATTAAGTCGCTTTCGTGCCTGTTTTTGCTTAAAACACGACTGCAATTGTCAGCACTCGGTCGTATTTACTACACTCTTGAATCCCAGGAGTTCTAATACCTCTCGTGGTTTTTACCTAGGCCGATTGTTAGATTGAGCAGAAAATGTTTCCCAATCACCATCTCTTTACCTCACTCATCAATAGGACTGAAAGAAAGGCATGGCTGACGTGTAGAACTTCTTGTTTCATTACGCCATCCATCCAGACGGTTGTGATTGCTGTAGTCTTCTGTCAATGAGAACCCCAGTACAGGTTTCCCACGTTGAACTGACAGTGTTTATCTATCGATCTATCTATCTGCTGAATCTTGATTGAACTCCATGCAACGAATCCACTAGTGTGCATATTGTAGATAATCTAGCTCTTGACTAAGCTCTTGTCGCGCCCTCGAGCAAACGCCTGTTCTTTGCGTTATGTTCTCCTCTACTCCACTGCTAAATGGATCCATGATGCGTGCTGAGCATGAAATACTTTTGTAGTAACAAATTGTAAAGCACTATATACTACTAACTAACCAATATGTTTGGTTTGAGAGAAAGAAAGAGAGAGAGAAAGAAAGACAGCGGGAGGTCGGTCGGCAGACAGGTAAGTAGCGCTCTCCTTCTCAGATAATGTTGCCTTCTTTCCGTCTTTGATTTCTGGAAATGACCCCATGTGATACTCCTGTTTCCTTCATTGTGTTTTGTCAACCACTTTGTCTGTTCGTTTTTACAGATTATTTTTTTTTACAAAAATCCCTTTACAGGAAAATTTACATACTTCTTTCTGTTTACATTTTACAACTCCTCTACCCATCATTTTAAGCTCTTTTGTTCCATTTGTTCCCGTCTTTCCTGCCCTGAATGGACTAGATAAGGGTGAACTTTTCCTATGGTCAGCTTCCCTCATGGCGTTTGATCAGTGAACAAATGATCACTCTCATCCTTCCTCATAATATCACACTCTGTTTTTTGGAGACATTTTCTGTTCAACATTTTTGGGGCACCGTAGTATTTTTTCAACTTCAAAAAGGCTATTCTAAATCAGCCACAATGCTACTTTATCAAGCCCTCTTTAAGAGCAAACCTGTTTAAGAGTGATCCTGATAATAGTAAACCTTTTGAGAATAAATGACAACCAAGAAGTAAGGAGAACTGTCCTCCTGTACCACATTGCAATGCCTGACGCTCCTACATCTCGTCCCGTTTAGATCACGTCCCACCCCACAACGTTAAGCCACCTCTTTCTTTTCCCTTACACTTTTCCCCTTTTTTAAAATACATTTTTGTAATTTTTTGCAAAATGGGGCACGTTGCGTCGTCCTGGGAAGGCTTGCCTTTTCCTGCGCGATAGCGACCTAATACTCTATGCTTTGTTTCTGTCTCGCGATTTCTATGAGATGCATTCGGAACAAGACGTATCTTTGTGCTTAGCTCCGTCTGTTTTTGCTTTCCTTTTTTTCTGTTTAAATTACACAATTTATTTACAGATTCTTATTTTTAATTTTTAAGCAATTTGCTGTGTTGCAGAGTAACAAAATAAAAAACGATATGCATCTTCACTGAACATGTTGACAATTTATTTGCTAAAAAAAGGTAGACCCATCCAGATTCCTTCAAAGAAAGACAAAGGAACTATGTCTAATCCAAGTTGTGTAGCTATATAAACACTTTGGGCAGAGTGAAAGAGTGTACTGAGAAGTGAAATGAACCAGTTAATAGACAAAAGGGTCACTTGTGAACACACACACTCAGTTCTAGATCAAGTTTAGTCTAATATCTCTACTCCCTGAGGGCTCCTACCATTATCTTTGTGATGACTCATTCATTGTGTGAGTGTCATTGTAGTGAAATCAGGCTCTTGTCAAAATAACGAAGTTCAAGAAATAGACATGTTTCTACCCCTTGAGCTGTTTTTATTGATTTTTAAAAAACTGTTTTATGTTCATTTAAAATCACATTTCTGTATGGATTTTACTCCCAAAAAAACTTTAATCAAAGGAACAAAAAGATTGTAAATTTGCAGTTTCCACGGACACTCAAGCTCTGGAAGTCACCAAACTTTACGGCCATTTTCTCGCTAAATTCACCCCTGACATCCCCAACCTCGTTTAATTGAAAATATCTCGGCTTCTATTTAAATAAAGGTGGATATTTTCCCCCCTAAAGCAAGACAAATGAACCAACGTTAAGATGCTACCAATAACTCGATAGATTAGATCGAGGTCCCTAAATTGACAAGCGCCTGATTCCACTGTGTCGAGACACATTTGGTTAGTGTGGTCTTTCCAGTTGTACAATGGCAGTACCACGGGAGATTTCTTACCTGTATTTTTATCTTGAAATCTTCACATGGTGGAAGCTCATACGGGGCGATGGGTATTTGACGGGTGCTCTGGTGTGGTTTGCTCTTTTTCCTGTCAAACATATATCGTCCTTATCTCCCTTCCTTCTATCCTATCAAACATTATTATATCGTCCTTATCCTCTCTCTCTCTCTCTCTCTCTCTCTCTCTCTCTCTC